CAGTTCATTGGCTGAAGTTTACACTAAAAACAATCCTGTTAACAATATTTGTTAACAATTTAAAGTACCATTTAATCAAATAGTTACAGCACATAGGGTGAATTTTTTTTAAGATTGATGGTGCTGGGTACTAATATAAATAAATAAATATATATATATATATATATATATATATATATATATATATATATATATATATATATATATATATATATATATATGTATATATACATAAACAAATATTTATATACAAATATATACATATAAAAATAAATATATGCATATATATATTATATATATATGCATATATTTATTTTTGGTGTACATATTTTTATATAAATATTTGTGTATATATATATATATATTTATATATATATATATACATACACACACATAAAAATATATATACACAAATAAATATATATATATATATATTTATTTAAATATAAATATATAATAATATATTTAAATATATAAATATATTTATATTTAAATATATATATTTATTTGTGTATATATATTTTTATGCGTGCATATGCATATATATATATTATATATATATATATATATATATATATATATATATATATATATATATATATATATATATATAATATATATAACCTTTTTGTGGAGACAAAAGTAAGCATTTTTTTGTGATGTTACTGTATGCGAGATCTCAAGAATCAGATTGTCAAATGTTAATTTTAAATGTTTAAAATTTTAAATCCTCTAATACTCCAGAAAAGGTATATATTTGCCTATTTGTAAATGAATGGAAAAAATGAAGGGCTAACCACAAATATAAAACTGCAAAATTCAACCTCTTTTTCCATATAAGTATGGCAAATAAAAAAAAACCTCAAATAACACCCAACTTAACCTGGTCAATAATTTAAAAAATTTCTGTGTGCAGTAAGGTCACAAAAAATTGATATCCAAGGGGCGCTAAATGAATAGAAAGTACCTAAAAAGAAAAAAGGTCTTTTATCTTTAATATAGGGAAATTTTGATAAATAAGGATGCCAATCAAGATTGCTGTCCCAGGCAGCGTGACGGCTTTTGGCTGCCCTGTATATATTTATATATGTAACACTCTTTACAGGGCTGGATAAGAGGTGATACAATGAAAACAATTGCATTGGGCCTTGCGCTAACAAGGATCTTGCGGAGACTGTTAGAATGCTATTGAAAGAATAGAAAAGAAAAATAATTTTTTCAAGTCAATTTTGGAACATTTTATTAGAACACTTTAGTATTAAAACTATTTGATAAATATATTTAAAAATATTTTATTTTACGAATTATCAAACCATTAGTTGACTTCACGCAAGAATATAGAGTATTAATAGACTTAGTGTAATATTTTCTATTTAAAACACGAGTTCAATTAACAAGTAAGTTTTCTTAAAAAAATGTATATATAATAACAGCAATACAGAGCCGTCACAATAGAACCTTTATTGATGTTTTCATTAGAAAAACTGATAGAAATGAATCAAATATATGGTCTTAACAAATTTATTGTTCGAAGATTTAATTCACAAGTATTGCTTGTAAACTTTGAATTAATCTAGCCAGTCAATCAATACAACATATATATTTATATTTGTTATTTAAAAAAGTTGTTCCTTATTTACTGGAAATGTTTATAAGTATTTTTAAAAGTGTTTTTCTTACAACTTATGACATCTTTAATTTGTTGTCTAGATCATCAAGTTAAAATGTGGAAACAAACAAAACAAGATACAGATATAGGAAGAAAATTTGAAAATGGCAGTACAAAAAGAAAATTAACTGCAAAAAGAAAAGCAGATAGTGAAAAACTCAAAGGTGCTTTGAATAAATACTTCAAAATAGGCGATGCTGACAAAAAAACAGATGAAAAAAACCAAAAAGATCCTGGAGAAAATAATGATCAAGATCCAAAAGAAATTAATGAAAAAGATGAAAAAGAAAATAATGAAAACAAAAATAACAACAAAAATGAAAAAGATAAAAATAAAAATTATGGTAAAGATGAAATAAAATTAATGACAATGATATAAAAGTAAATACTGCCGACAAATAAAATACCATATGAACATTATCTAAGTAAAACAATCCAAAATGAAATTATAAATGTAATAGGCAGTAAAATTCGAAATAAAATTATAGAATAAATAAAAAAAGGAAAGTATTTTGCTGTTATTTTTGACTGACATAAGTTTAAAGAACGAATGTCTCTTAGCCTTAGATATGTTTCAGACGGTATATTACCAGGTTTAAGTGCCAATGTATATGAACAGTTTATTAAATTTATACATGTAGAGAGCAGTACAGGAGACAACCTATTTTCTGTGTTGAACAAGAAATTCAATCTTTAGGACTGAACATTAATGACATTCAAGGTCAAGGCTATGACAATGGTTCTAACATGAAGGAAAAAGGTTTCAGGGGTTTAGGCTAGATTGTTAAAAGAAAATTCAAGAGCATTTTTTACACCTTGTACATGTCATAATTACAATCTTCTATTGGGAGATATAGCCAAAATTTGCCCAGAAGCTATAACATTTTTGGTATTCTTCAATGCCTGTTTGTTTTATTTTGGGCATCTACAAAAAGTTGGCTGATGCTTCTCAAATATGTGAAAGAGCTTACTGTGAAACCAATTTTTGATACCAGATGGGAATGTCGGATTCAAAGTGTTAAAGCAGTAAGATTCCAAATAGTTGAATTTTACAATGCACTTATTGAAGTATCAGAAACCTCCGAAAATCCACAAATCAAAAGTGAAGCTAAACCACTTGGAAAGTTAATGAGAGATTATAAGTTTTTAGTGGTTTTTTGGTATGATTTACATTTCCAAGTAAATTTTGTAAGTAAAGAACTATAATGTAAATCAGTAGACCTATCAACAGCTCTTAGCTCATTTGAAAAACTTTTAAGTTGGTTGATCAATTACAAAAACACTGGATTTGAGCACATTTTAGTCAAGGCTAAAGCACTCGCAGAAGACTTAGAAATATATCCAGAATTTCAAAATAAGTGACTCCAGAAACAAAAAAAGCATTTCAATTACAAAGGCAATGATGAGCCTATTATAGACCCTTTAAATACACTCAAGATATCTTTTTTCATGTTAGTTTTAGATAAAGCTAAACAATCGCTAGAAGATCATTTTAAACAATTAAAAAATCATGATAATTTATTTGGGTTTTTGGGAAAATTTCAAAATATGAAAAAAGAAAAATGAAAAAAATATGCATTTGATTTAGAAATTGCTCTGACAGATTCTAAAATTATACAAATGGATAATGACACTGTGAAGCCCAACATCTAATGACACTGTGAAGCCCGAAGTAAACTTAGAAGGTAACATGTTACTTGAAGAAATAGAAAGCACTAAAATCAATTCTTTCATCTGAATATTCCCAATTTTTATCTGAGAATGAAAAAGCTGCAGCATTTCCAAACCTATTTATTGCCCTTCGCGTATACTTTACAATTCCAGTGAGCGATGCTTCTGGAGAGAGATCATTTTTGAGATTTAAACTTATAAAAATTTATCTAAGATCAACAGTAACTCAGTATAGATTAAATAGTTTAGTGATCATGTTGATTGAAATTCAAGAAGCAAAACACTTGGATTTACAAACTACTTTACAAGATTTTTCTGAAAAAAAACTTAAAAACATTCAAAACATTGCTACTGTTTATTTATATTTAACAAAATTCAGTTGAATTCATTTTTTAACTTATATACAATTTTTGTAACAAAAATATTAAAGCATGTTTTTATTTAATAGAATATAATGAAATTATTGATTATATATAAAACGCATAGACATTTTTATTAAAACTGTTTTTAAAAAACAGTTTTAATAAAAAATGTCTATGCGTTTTCTTTCATCTATAGTCTGCACATTGTGATGTTACTATTATTTTATCAACTCGTTTCTCCGCGCAGCGGCCTTGTTCGTCAAGGTTCGTGTTTCGGAGTTATAGAGTTGAGAGAGGGTTTTAGCCACAAAATAAGTAGCCTCCTCGTTTGTAGTGGCCTTCTCGGCCTTGAGGAGGTGAAGTAAAATAAAAAAAAATTTTATAAATGCTTTATAAAAATAAATTTGATGGTTTTTAAAGTTTCATGTTAAGGAAGTATAAAATGGTTTTTAAAACGCTCAAACTTAAAAAACTTTTTTTTTCCTGAAAAATATTAGAATTGTTTGATGACAAGAAAAATCAAAGTTCATTCCCAGCAATGTTGCATGCATTTTCATTCTACAAGTTTTTAGGAAAATTATAAAGAAAAACAGTCAACAGTAAAAATGGGTCATAAAAAAAATTAGAAAGAATGTTCTAAAGCATTTTTTCTCATGTAAAAAACTCAAGTAACAGAAGTTTTTTTTAGCAACTTGAAGTAAATGCTGTAAAACAATTCAATTTAACTGACTGTTACATACACAAAATTTCTTCTTCAAACTTTCTTTTTTTAGTTTGTTAACTTTTATAAGAAATTAAATTTAAAAAATTTCTGAACTAGATTGTTGCTAGTCTTAAAAAGAAATTTTTTATAAAGCTCTTAATATTTTCAAAAATTGAAAAAAATCTATATACTTGTTTCATAACCATAAACAATAGGTACAAAACCATGATTCTTTTATTATCGCTTTCTTACTATTGTACAGTGAAGCATACTTAATCAGCAAGGTTTCAGAATTATAGTATTGTTAGAAGGTTGTAACATCATTTAACAAAAAAATCAAAAAACTTCCATAGTGTACAGTTTACAGTGGAGTACACTGTACCCCACTGTAAACTGTACTAGTTCTTTAAGGAGGCGACTATTTAAATTTTTATGTTTCCAAATTTTGACTATTTGAAATGTAATGAACTTAAAGTAGCTTGATGTAGAATCAAGTGTTTTACAATTTTATGTAGATGCTGAGTATATGCTTTTATTTAAGCTCATATCTTTTTTTTCCTATATATTGTAATTTTCAAATTTCCTAATTTTTTAGTATGAATAAAAAGACTGCATCAAAAACAATCAAGCTAATTATAAAGGTTCTACGTATCTTGCGAGTCCTGAGACCATTGAAAGTAATTAATAAACTTCCAAAATTAAAAGTAATTTTATTTTTATTATATTTTACAAACATATATTATATACTTTATATATTATATCTGATAGTTAGTTTCATTGTATTTTAAAGTAGTTTTTATTTAAATTTTTAAAGCTACTTTTTCAACTTTATTCATGTTATAGTTGTGTTTTTTACTAGCATTTTTTTTTAAGTTTGTTTTATTTTAGGCTGTGTTTGTTTGCATGATCTTTTCATTAAAGAATGTTGTCATGGTGCTGATTATAACAGCTCAACTTTTGCTGATTTTTTCTATTATGGGAGTACAATTGTTTTCTGTAAAAATTTAATGTTTTTTATTGATTTTATTTTATTACACATGTTTAATGCTGTTTTATTCTTTTGATTAATAGCAGCTGTCTGGATTGTTTCAAATGTTTAAAAACAGAGATTAAAAAAATGGACTTTAAGACTTCTTAATTTTATCATTTTTAAGTTTGGAGTTGAATAAAGTTAGGTTAAATACATAAAGACTCCAGGTTAAAAAACTTTGAGTTCCTAAACTCTTTAAGTCTTACACTTGTTTCATTTTGGAGTTCAGAATATTACAAGCATATTTAGAGAATATTGATTGGTGAATTTGGAGAATGTTGATTGGTGAATTTAGAGAATATTGATTGGTGAATTTAGAGAATATTGATTGGTGAATTTGGAGAGTAATGATTGGAAGACGATTTAATTGTTTTATGATTGTAAAAAATGTTTGGTTGAATTACAAAAGTATATTAAAAAATATAAGTTTATTTGCTACACAAATATAAGCTATATTTGTACTTATTTGTTAGGGGCTATATTGGTACTGCACAGATGAATCTAAAGATAATCAAAATGATTGTGTGTAAGTAAAATAGTAAAATTTGTAAAAAATAATAACACTAGTTTAAAGTTTTAATTATTAGAACTAATAATAATAATATTTTTTGTTGATTTATGCCGAAAAATTTAATGGGACAAATTGTTTTTCATTATAAATCTTATTTAATTCTAACTTATAATTTATTTTGTGAGATACTAATAATTTTCTGAAGGTAAAACACTTTTTTTTTCTCTTAAAAATTATTTTATGAAATGTTTAGGAACAAAATCTATATTTTAGCAATCATAGTTCCAGCAAAACAATAATTGAATGAGAATCAACTAAAGTTAATTTGGGATTTAGTTAAACAAAAACAAATAAAAATTATTATTGGCTAAAACTCATCTTAATTAGCTAATTTTAATTTGGAAGAAAATTTGTGGTTAGATGAATCTAAATTCAATTTATTACATTCTTAACAAAATTTTTGGAGATTAACTGGTGAAGCTTACAGTTTTAGTTGCATAGAAGGAACTGTTTAACATCGAGTTGGTAATATAATGATATGGGGTTGTATGTCATAAAATGGTGTTGGAATTCTTGAATTTATCAAAGATATAATGAACTCGGATATGTACATATATTTTGAATAATAATTTGACTTCATCAGCTCATAAATTGAGATTAGGTAGAAATTTTTTTTTCAACATGATAATGATCCAAAATATAAGTTGAAAAAAACAACAGAGTTTTTACAAACCAAATCCATAAATGTTCTTGAATGGTCAGCACAACATCAAGATATAAATCCTATAGAAAATTTATGGTTTATTTTAGATAAACAAATAGGTAATTGTCACTTAAAGTGAAAGACAGAATTAGAAACTTCTATTACAAAGGCTCAGGATAAAATAAGTTTTGATATTACAAAACATTAATGGAATCTATGCCAAAACATTTAAATGCTATTATAAAAACTAAAGAAGGTCACATAAAATACTAGTTCTACCATACATCTTAATAAGTGAATTATGTTATTTATGTCCCATTGTTTTTTCCACAGAATTTAGTCAAAAAATTGATATGTTCACTTATTAAATATGATTTTTGAAAAATTTAAAATTATTCTCTAATGTATTTTTTTTACAAAAATGATGCTATCTTAAAAAAATCATTTGCTACATAAAAAATTATTTTTTTATAAACAAACTGGCAATTTTGATTAAAATTCACCATTTAAAATGGTTGTTCCATTAAATTTTTCAAACACTGTGTATATATATATATATATATATATATATATATATATATATATATATATATATATATATATATATATATATATATATATATATATATATATGTATATATATATATATATTTATATATATATATATATATATATGTATATATATATATATATATATATATATAATATATATATATATATATATATATATATATATATATATATATATATAAATATATGTAGATATCTACATATATATATTGAAAATTCTTTTTTTATTTTACTAGGGGGTATTATATCACATTTGCATCAAATAACTACAATCAACCCATTGTAAGTTTACTGAAATAAATTGTTGAGTTGTTAAAAACCTCACCTTTATAAAAAAAGTATCAACCATAGTGGCTAGTAAAAAAGCACACTCATAGTGTCTAGTAACTACTTGTACAGATTGGTTGTGATACCCAATGACTTGGTTACATACCAATTTTCTGTTCTAGTATTTACTAGTACTATGCGAGTGCTCGTTCCTGGATTGGTATTCTTTTTTTTATGTATAAATATATATATATATATATATATATATATATATATATATATATATATATATATATATATATTTATAACGAACTTCTATAATAACAGACCTTGACGTTGCGCAAAACGCCATAAAAACTGAAGGTCGATTAAACTTTTACTTACAAAAATATTGATGTTTTTATATTTGGTAGGGCGTAATGGCAGTCTGTGTTTTCTAATAAAAAATCTCTTGTAAAGACAGAAATATAAAAAGGAAACCAAAAAATTGTTAAAAGAATTATATTTCAAATTTCATTAAGAGTATTAATGTAATATTAAATAGTATCAATAATAGTAATAATAATATCAGTAATAGTATCAATAACAAGAAGAATCATAATAATATATATAACTATATATTAGAAAGATAATTACATATCTATATATATATATATATATTTGCTTACAGAAACATAACTAAAAATAAAAGGTAACAAAAATCACCAACAATGAATAAAAAACAAAAAAAAAAAACAATTCTTGCAAAAAAGTTTTATCAATATATCTCAACAGAGTAAATATTTACAAATCCAAACATATCGAGAGACATTAAGGCTAAAGTGGAAATAAAAAACATAACAAGTAAATAGCATAAATTACAAAATTTTCACATAAATTATGACAGCTTTAGTTCTTTCGTTTTAGATTCTTTGCTACTGCTGGGAGTAGTAATTATTGCATAATTCTTTAGCAAAATATTAGAATATATTCTGCATTGTTTTTTTGTGATTTTAAATTTATATTTAGCTGCAATGAACTGAAACTGAGTAACACAAAATGTTCTGCATAAAGAGCCAGTAGCACATTGAAAAAACAAAAAGCAAAATATTGACCATTGGACTAGAGTATCTGAAGGAATTTCAAGTTCGCCTCTGTTTAGGCTATTCAGATAACTTCCATAATTATAATTATAATTGTTGGTGTCATCATGAATCTTTATTTTGCTTTTTTGCACATAGCCAGCTATGTAAACTATAGCCATTAATGTAGATTTATTAATTGAGCTTTCAAGATCATGTATATTATTCAGCAGTTCTTTTTCATCAGTAGAAATATCTCTAAAACATGTGTCACAAGTATGACCATCAATACCATCAACAGGAATGTCAAGTTGTAATATCAATTTAGTATGTTGAATATTAATTTTTTCAACTACAGATTTAGCGTTTATAAAGTAAGTACCTCCAGATCCCTGTCGAAGTTTAGAAAAAGCCTTTTCAAGTGGATCTGTTGTAAACCAACCTAATAAAACATACTTCGCTCCATTACTCAACAAAGTTTCTACAAGATCAATTAGGCCATAACATGTATGCGCTATTGCATTGCTAGTATCTATAGTAAGCTGTTTTACACGCTTACCTGTAGGTTTCATATTACTTGACAGTTCAGCAATATTTCGTAGCAGTTGTAACTGTTGATCACCAATAGAGTGGATTTCTCCACATAATTCATTTCTAAACCGAATGCCAGCGCCAGGTGCTTTGACATTTACAACATTCCAAAAAGAAATAATTTTTTCAATAAATACAGCAGTACCTTCAAATACTTTATTTTCAATCTCTGGATGTGTTCTTAATGCAGCTACTGTTTCTTCGCAAAAAACAGACAAACAAAACTTTACAGATTGTCTCTCTATTGGTTTTGGATAAACTGATTTAGCTGTAAGTTTAGAGAGTTTAAAAAGA